GCGAGCAGCTGCCATCGTGTGGCGCTCTCCTCCTTCCCCCCTTTTTTGTAGCATGCAAGAGCCTTCAACTCCGTTGCCCCCTTTTCCCCCATGTCTTCTTCTCGTCTGCAAGACCCTCTCTGGGCCTTCCTTTCCCCCCCCTTTTTTCCCCCCATTGTCGTTCCTTTTTTTTCTTTCTTTTTGGGATTGCGGCTGCTGTTGCCTCCTTCCGCTCCTGTTGCATTTTACCCCCAACTCACGCTCTCACTGTGCACGGACGCAGCCACCACGCACACAAAAAATGAAATTCACACCGGACAATGGAGCTAAAACAAACAAACAAACAAAGAAACAAACCAAGAAGATAAATAGCACGGCAGCACCCCACCACCATTTAGTTTCACTACACCCACGCTCGCATATACGCCAGTGAGGGGCTTGGAGGGGAGGGGGGAAGGGTGCCTTTCTCTCCCTCCCCCTTCCCGCCGGGCGTGGGAGGAGGAAAGCGCGACGCACACAAAGCGCACAAATATGCGTTCGCGGCTCCCCCCCCCGCTTAGTCGGCCTTCTTCGCGGAACCGTTCGAGGCAACAGCAGGCCGCTTCGGCGGGAATATATATGCCTTGACGAACATCTCCGAGAAGAGGTAGAGGTACGACGTGTACATGAGCAGCTGGATGCGCATGTTCGACCACGTCATGCCGCAGCCGCGGCCGTCGTAGCTCTCCTTCATCGCGTAGACGCTGACGAAGCAGCCCATCACCATCTGTAGGATCTGCATGATGGTGATGTACGGCGCGAGCGGCCGCACAAGCCGCTTGTGGCCCATCGCCGCCAGAGCGAAGTAGAGGTACATGATGGAGTGCACGCTGTAGTTCATCGCCGCCACCCAGATGTAGGAGGAGCTGCCGACGCAGTACGTGTGCCACGAGAAGAGCAGCACCGTGACGTGGTGGTACCAGTGCAGGAACGGCAGCTTCGGCTTGCCCTGCAGCACCAGAAAGATGGTGTCGACCAGCTCCGGCATCTTCGACAGGGCGAAAATGCCCATCCAGAAGCCGACGTTAGTGGTGTAGAACTCCTCCTCGGTGAACTTGCACGTCGCCTCGTAGAATCCCTTCGACGCGAGGTTGCTGATGAGCCTCGGCGTCACCGTGCTGGTGCCGAAGATGGAGAAGATGGAGAGAAGCAGGTTCCACACGACCATCGCCTGTCGCACCGCTGGCGACCCGGTGCCGTCTTCGCTCCGCACCTGCGGTGCCGCCGCCGCCGCCGCATTGCCGCGGCCGGTCAGCTTGGCGAACACCCTGGGCCCGAGGAAGACAAACGCGAGGTAGCCGCCGGCGACGTAGCCCGCCACGTCCACGTTGTCGATCATCCACTGGCGGACTGCGTGGCCATCCCAGTCGTTGATGAACTG